ACCTGCCACGTCCAGGCGGAAGGAGACCCTCTGGCCCCCGGCCTCGCAGCTGTACTCCCCGGCGTCCGCCGTGCCCGCCTGCTGCACCACCAGTCGCCGCGTGCAGCCCGCGGCCTCCACGCGCACCCTAGAGCTCGAGCTCAGCTTCTTCCCATCCTTGCACCACGCCACCTGCGTCTGCGCCTGGGCCACCTCGCAGCTCAGTGTGGCGCTGGCCCCCGCCTCGGTCTTCACCTCGCTGTGCGCCGCCTGCTCCTTGGCAAACACCACCTTGGGCTCTGCAATGGGCGAGCAACCCGTGGTCAGGGGCCGGGCCAGACCCAGCCCCGCACTCTCCACGCCTGCTGCTGTCTCAAAAGCCCAGCCAGGGCCAGTGCCCCTCAAAGGAGAGAAACACACAGGACACAACCCTCCAGAAGACCCCAGGGAGGGGAGGCAGGGTGGTCGGGGCAAGCGTCCACAGGCAAATAACCACATGAGCTTCAACCTGCCACATGGACCCGACTGAGCACTGAGCACGCTCTGTGCAGAGCAGGCAACTCCAGCACCCGTGTCCTGAGTGCTTCAGGCACCACACAGAGCACGGCGAGCCAGGACAACCAAGCCCATCACTGCCCTGAGAGCCAAACGTCAGTGTGGGCCAACCAGGAGAGAGCTGGTGCCCAGCACGATGGCTCAACTGGCTCATGCTCCCCCTACAAGCACCACCGTCCCATATGGGAGCCGGCTCGCATCCTGGCTACTCCTCTTCCCATCCAGCTCCCTGCTTCTGGCCTGGGACACCAGTGGAGGATGGCCCAAGTCCTCGGGACACCCCACACCCGCGGGACAGACCCGCAAGAACCCTTGGGCCTTGGCTTCGGACAGGCTCAGCTCCAGCCATTGCGGCCATTTGGGGAGTGAACCAGAGGATGGAAAGCTTCTCTCTCTCTCTCTCTCTCTCTCTCTCTCTCTCTCTCTCTCTGCCTCTGCTCCTCTCTGTGGGTCTGCCTTTCGACAAAGACACCTGTTAAAGAAAGACAGGCAGACACCGAGAACAAACGAGAGAGAGAGCGAGAGGCCGAGCGAGCTGGGGGTCAGTAGGGCCAGTCAGGAGAGGGCAGCGTGTCAATGTGAGCCCGTCAGCAGAGGCCGACGTGGCAGGACACGGCCGAATGGCAGCGTGTGCCCATCAGGACAGAGCTCAGGACCTAACCGCGCCAACGACACAGGTCAGGCTGTGGCCAATCGGAAGAGAGCCAGTGTGGACCACTAAGGACAGCACAGAGCCTCAGGGCTTGGCCAATCGGGAGAGAACCCAGTGCCAGGGAGGAGCCGATGCGGACATAGGCGGGTGCCAAGCCAGGTGTCAGGTGGAGTGGTGGCCAAGGCGTATGGGTCCTCCCACTCACAGTTCTCATGACAAGATAGGCCAGGTGGAAAGGAGGGGCTGAGCAGGAAGGACGGCTGCACGGGCTGCTCACCCAGGCAGCCGGCACAGGCGGCCTGAGGCACGGGGCACCAGTGGGCACAGATGGACAGACTGCAGAGACACCGCCCCCTGCTGGGCAGGCCTGTCCCTGCAGCCCAGCACCCAGACAGGAGCATCAGGTGAGGAGAGCCCAAGCCCACTGGGGCAGGGCACACGGGAAGCTCAGCTCAGCCCAGCCCTGGGCCGGCCCTGGTCTGCAGGCACGACAACCCGGCCCGGGAGGCACCGGGCACAGCCAGGGCCCTGCAGTCGGGGGCCCCAGAGGGAGACGAAGCCATGGCCTCGGCACCTCCTGCTGTGCGTGTGTCACCTTGCACCCCAGCGGTCCCTGCCCACAACCCGCACCATGCACCCACCTGCCACGTCCAGGCGGAAGGAGACCCTCTGGCCCCCGGCCTCGCAGCTGTACTCCCCGGCGTCCGCCGTGCCCGCCTGCTGCACCACCAGTCGCCGCGTGCAGCCCGCGGCCTCCACGCGCACCCTAGAGCTCGAGCTCAGCTTCTTCCCATCCTTGCACCACGCCACCTGCGTCTGCGCCTGGGCCACCTCGCAGCTCAGTGTGGCGCTGGCCCCCGCCTCGGTCTTCACCTCGCTGTGCGCCGCCTGCTCCTTGGCAAACACCACCTTGGGCTCTGCAATGGGCGAGCAACCCGTGGTCAGGGGCCGGGCCAGACCCAGCCCCGCACTCTCCACGCCTGCTGCTGTCTCAAAAGCCCAGCCAGGGCCAGTGCCCCTCAAAGGAGAGAAACACACAGGACACAACCCTCCAGAAGACCCCAGGGAGGGGAGGCAGGGTGGTCGGGGCAAGCGTCCACAGGCAAATAACCACATGAGCTTCAACCTGCCACATGGACCCGACTGAGCACTGAGCACGCTCTGTGCAGAGCAGGCAACTCCAGCACCCGTGTCCTGAGTGCTTCAGGCACCACACAGAGCACGGCGAGCCAGGACAACCAAGCCCATCACTGCCCTGAGAGCCAAACGTCAGTGTGGGCCAACCAGGAGAGAGCTGGTGCCCAGCACGATGGCTCAACTGGCTCATGCTCCCCCTACAAGCACCACCGTCCCATATGGGAGCCGGCTCGCATCCTGGCTACTCCTCTTCCCATCCAGCTCCCTGCTTCTGGCCTGGGACACCAGTGGAGGATGGCCCAAGTCCTCGGGACACCCCACACCCGCGGGACAGACCCGCAAGAACCCTTGGGCCTTGGCTTCGGACAGGCTCAGCTCCAGCCATTGCGGCCATTTGGGGAGTGAACCAGAGGATGGAAAGCTTCTCTCTCTCTCTCTCTCTCTCTCTCTCTCTCTCTCTCTCTGCCTCTGCTCCTCTCTGTGGGTCTGCCTTTCGACAAAGACACCTGTTAAAGAAAGACAGGCAGACACCGAGAACAAACGAGAGAGAGAGCGAGAGGCCGAGCGAGCTGGGGGTCAGTAGGGCCAGTCAGGAGAGGGCAGCGTGTCAATGTGAGCCCGTCAGCAGAGGCCGACGTGGCAGGACACGGCCGAATGGCAGCGTGTGCCCATCAGGACAGAGCTCAGGACCTAACCGCGCCAACGACACAGGTCAGGCTGTGGCCAATCGGAAGAGAGCCAGTGTGGACCACTAAGGACAGCACAGAGCCTCAGGGCTTGGCCAATCGGGAGAGAACCCAGTGCCAGGGAGGAGCCGATGCGGACATAGGCGGGTGCCAAGCCAGGTGTCAGGTGGAGTGGTGGCCAAGGCGTATGGGTCCTCCCACTCACAGTTCTCATGACAAGATAGGCCAGGTGGAAAGGAGGGGCTGAGCAGGAAGGACGGCTGCACGGGCTGCTCACCCAGGCAGCCGGCACAGGCGGCCTGAGGCACGGGGCACCAGTGGGCACAGATGGACAGACTGCAGAGACACCGCCCCCTGCTGGGCAGGCCTGTCCCTGCAGCCCAGCACCCAGACAGGAGCATCAGGTGAGGAGAGCCCAAGCCCACTGGGGCAGGGCACACGGGAAGCTCAGCTCAGCCCAGCCCTGGGCCGGCCCTGGTCTGCAGGCACGACAACCCGGCCCGGGAGGCACCGGGCACAGCCAGGGCCCTGCAGTCGGGGGCCCCAGAGGGAGACGAAGCCATGGCCTCGGCACCTCCTGCTGTGCGTGTGTCACCTTGCACCCCAGCGGTCCCTGCCCACAACCCGCACCATGCACCCACCTGCCACGTCCAGGCGGAAGGAGACCCTCTGGCCCCCGGCCTCGCAGCTGTACTCCCCGGCGTCCGCCGTGCCCGCCTGCTGCACCACCAGTCGCCGCGTGCAGCCCGCGGCCTCCACGCGCACCCTAGAGCTCGAGCTCAGCTTCTTCCCATCCTTGCACCACGCCACCTGCGTCTGCGCCTGGGCCACCTCGCAGCTCAGTGTGGCGCTGGCCCCCGCCTCGGTCTTCACCTCGCTGTGCGCCGCCTGCTCCTTGGCAAACACCACCTTGGGCTCTGCAATGGGCGAGCAACCCGTGGTCAGGGGCCGGGCCAGACCCAGCCCCGCACTCTCCACGCCTGCTGCTGTCTCAAAAGCCCAGCCAGGGCCAGTGCCCCTCAAAGGAGAGAAACACACAGGACACAACCCTCCAGAAGACCCCAGGGAGGGGAGGCAGGGTGGTCGGGGCAAGCGTCCACAGGCAAATAACCACATGAGCTTCAACCTGCCACATGGACCCGACTGAGCACTGAGCACGCTCTGTGCAGAGCAGGCAACTCCAGCACCCGTGTCCTGAGTGCTTCAGGCACCACACAGAGCACGGCGAGCCAGGACAACCAAGCCCATCACTGCCCTGAGAGCCAAACGTCAGTGTGGGCCAACCAGGAGAGAGCTGGTGCCCAGCACGATGGCTCAACTGGCTCATGCTCCCCCTACAAGCACCACCGTCCCATATGGGAGCCGGCTCGCATCCTGGCTACTCCTCTTCCCATCCAGCTCCCTGCTTCTGGCCTGGGACACCAGTGGAGGATGGCCCAAGTCCTCGGGACACCCCACACCCGCGGGACAGACCCGCAAGAACCCTTGGGCCTTGGCTTCGGACAGGCTCAGCTCCAGCCATTGCGGCCATTTGGGGAGTGAACCAGAGGATGGAAAGCTTCTCTCTCTCTCTCTCTCTCTCTCTCTCTCTCTCTCTCTCTGCCTCTGCTCCTCTCTGTGGGTCTGCCTTTCGACAAAGACACCTGTTAAAGAAAGACAGGCAGACACCGAGAACAAACGAGAGAGAGAGCGAGAGGCCGAGCGAGCTGGGGGTCAGTAGGGCCAGTCAGGAGAGGGCAGCGTGTCAATGTGAGCCCGTCAGCAGAGGCCGACGTGGCAGGACACGGCCGAATGGCAGCGTGTGCCCATCAGGACAGAGCTCAGGACCTAACCGCGCCAACGACACAGGTCAGGCTGTGGCCAATCGGAAGAGAGCCAGTGTGGACCACTAAGGACAGCACAGAGCCTCAGGGCTTGGCCAATCGGGAGAGAACCCAGTGCCAGGGAGGAGCCGATGCGGACATAGGCGGGTGCCAAGCCAGGTGTCAGGTGGAGTGGTGGCCAAGGCGTATGGGTCCTCCCACTCACAGTTCTCATGACAAGATAGGCCAGGTGGAAAGGAGGGGCTGAGCAGGAAGGACGGCTGCACGGGCTGCTCACCCAGGCAGCCGGCACAGGCGGCCTGAGGCACGGGGCACCAGTGGGCACAGATGGACAGACTGCAGAGACACCGCCCCCTGCTGGGCAGGCCTGTCCCTGCAGCCCAGCACCCAGACAGGAGCATCAGGTGAGGAGAGCCCAAGCCCACTGGGGCAGGGCACACGGGAAGCTCAGCTCAGCCCAGCCCTGGGCCGGCCCTGGTCTGCAGGCACGACAACCCGCCCGGGAGGCACCGGGCACAGCCAGGGCCCTGCAGTCGGGGGCCCCAGAGGGAGACGAAGCCATGGCCTCGGCACCTCCTGCTGTGCGTGTGTCACCTTGCACCCCAGCGGTCCCTGCCCACAACCCGCACCATGCACCCACCTGCCACGTCCAGGCGGAAGGAGACCCTCTGGCCCCCGGCCTCGCAGCTGTACTCCCCGGCGTCCGCCGTGCCCGCCTGCTGCACCACCAGTCGCCGCGTGCAGCCCGCGGCCTCCACGCGCACCCTAGAGCTCGAGCTCAGCTTCTTCCCATCCTTGCACCACGCCACCTGCGTCTGCGCCTGGGCCACCTCGCAGCTCAGTGTGGCGCTGGCCCCCGCCTCGGTCTTCACCTCGCTGTGCGCCGCCTGCTCCTTGGCAAACACCACCTTGGGCTCTGCAATGGGCGAGCAACCCGTGGTCAGGGGCCGGGCCAGACCCAGCCCCGCACTCTCCACGCCTGCTGCTGTCTCAAAAGCCCAGCCAGGGCCAGTGCCCCTCAAAGGAGAGAAACACACAGGACACAACCCTCCAGAAGACCCCAGGGAGGGGAGGCAGGGTGGTCGGGGCAAGCGTCCACAGGCAAATAACCACATGAGCTTCAACCTGCCACATGGACCCGACTGAGCACTGAGCACGCTCTGTGCAGAGCAGGCAACTCCAGCACCCGTGTCCTGAGTGCTTCAGGCACCACACAGAGCACGGCGAGCCAGGACAACCAAGCCCATCACTGCCCTGAGAGCCAAACGTCAGTGTGGGCCAACCAGGAGAGAGCTGGTGCCCAGCACGATGGCTCAACTGGCTCATGCTCCCCCTACAAGCACCACCGTCCCATATGGGAGCCGGCTCGCATCCTGGCTACTCCTCTTCCCATCCAGCTCCCTGCTTCTGGCCTGGGACACCAGTGGAGGATGGCCCAAGTCCTCGGGACACCCCACACCCGCGGGACAGACCCGCAAGAACCCTTGGGCCTTGGCTTCGGACAGGCTCAGCTCCAGCCATTGCGGCCATTTGGGGAGTGAACCAGAGGATGGAAAGCTTCTCTCTCTCTCTCTCTCTCTCTCTCTCTCTCTCTCTGCCTCTGCTCCTCTCTGTGGGTCTGCCTTTCGACAAAGACACCTGTTAAAGAAAGACAGGCAGACACCGAGAACAAACGAGAGAGAGAGCGAGAGGCCGAGCGAGCTGGGGGTCAGTAGGGCCAGTCAGGAGAGGGCAGCGTGTCAATGTGAGCCCGTCAGCAGAGGCCGACGTGGCAGGACACGGCCGAATGGCAGCGTGTGCCCATCAGGACAGAGCTCAGGACCTAACCGCGCCAACGACACAGGTCAGGCTGTGGCCAATCGGAAGAGAGCCAGTGTGGACCACTAAGGACAGCACAGAGCCTCAGGGCTTGGCCAATCGGGAGAGAACCCAGTGCCAGGGAGGAGCCGATGCGGACATAGGCGGGTGCCAAGCCAGGTGTCAGGTGGAGTGGTGGCCAAGGCGTATGGGTCCTCCCACTCACAGTTCTCATGACAAGATAGGCCAGGTGGAAAGGAGGGGCTGAGCAGGAAGGACGGCTGCACGGGCTGCTCACCCAGGCAGCCGGCACAGGCGGCCTGAGGCACGGGGCACCAGTGGGCACAGATGGACAGACTGCAGAGACACCGCCCCCTGCTGGGCAGGCCTGTCCCTGCAGCCCAGCACCCAGACAGGAGCATCAGGTGAGGAGAGCCCAAGCCCACTGGGGCAGGGCACACGGGAAGCTCAGCTCAGCCCAGCCCTGGGCCGGCCCTGGTCTGCAGGCACGACAACCCGGCCCGGGAGGCACCGGGCACAGCCAGGGCCCTGCAGTCGGGGGCCCCAGAGGGAGACGAAGCCATGGCCTCGGCACCTCCTGCTGTGCGTGTGTCACCTTGCACCCCAGCGGTCCCTGCCCACAACCCGCACCATGCACCCACCTGCCACGTCCAGGCGGAAGGAGACCCTCTGGCCCCCGGCCTCGCAGCTGTACTCCCCGGCGTCCGCCGTGCCCGCCTGCTGCACCACCAGTCGCCGCGTGCAGCCCGCGGCCTCCACGCGCACCCTAGAGCTCGAGCTCAGCTTCTTCCCATCCTTGCACCACGCCACCTGCGTCTGCGCCTGGGCCACCTCGCAGCTCAGTGTGGCGCTGGCCCCCGCCTCGGTCTTCACCTCGCTGTGCGCCGCCTGCTCCTTGGCAAACACCACCTTGGGCTCTGCAATGGGCGAGCAACCCGTGGTCAGGGGCCGGGCCAGACCCAGCCCCGCACTCTCCACGCCTGCTGCTGTCTCAAAAGCCCAGCCAGGGCCAGTGCCCCTCAAAGGAGAGAAACACACAGGACACAACCCTCCAGAAGACCCCAGGGAGGGGAGGCAGGGTGGTCGGGGCAAGCGTCCACAGGCAAATAACCACATGAGCTTCAACCTGCCACATGGACCCGACTGAGCACTGAGCACGCTCTGTGCAGAGCAGGCAACTCCAGCACCCGTGTCCTGAGTGCTTCAGGCACCACACAGAGCACGGCGAGCCAGGACAACCAAGCCCATCACTGCCCTGAGAGCCAAACGTCAGTGTGGGCCAACCAGGAGAGAGCTGGTGCCCAGCACGATGGCTCAACTGGCTCATGCTCCCCCTACAAGCACCACCGTCCCATATGGGAGCCGGCTCGCATCCTGGCTACTCCTCTTCCCATCCAGCTCCCTGCTTCTGGCCTGGGACACCAGTGGAGGATGGCCCAAGTCCTCGGGACACCCCACACCCGCGGGACAGACCCGCAAGAACCCTTGGGCCTTGGCTTCGGACAGGCTCAGCTCCAGCCATTGCGGCCATTTGGGGAGTGAACCAGAGGATGGAAAGCTTCTCTCTCTCTCTCTCTCTCTCTCTCTCTCTCTCTCTCTCTGCCTCTGCTCCTCTCTGTGGGTCTGCCTTTCGACAAAGACACCTGTTAAAGAAAGACAGGCAGACACCGAGAACAAACGAGAGAGAGAGCGAGAGGCCGAGCGAGCTGGGGGTCAGTAGGGCCAGTCAGGAGAGGGCAGCGTGTCAATGTGAGCCCGTCAGCAGAGGCCGACGTGGCAGGACACGGCCGAATGGCAGCGTGTGCCCATCAGGACAGAGCTCAGGACCTAACCGCGCCAACGACACAGGTCAGGCTGTGGCCAATCGGAAGAGAGCCAGTGTGGACCACTAAGGACAGCACAGAGCCTCAGGGCTTGGCCAATCGGGAGAGAACCCAGTGCCAGGGAGGAGCCGATGCGGACATAGGCGGGTGCCAAGCCAGGTGTCAGGTGGAGTGGTGGCCAAGGCGTATGGGTCCTCCCACTCACAGTTCTCATGACAAGATAGGCCAGGTGGAAAGGAGGGGCTGAGCAGGAAGGACGGCTGCACGGGCTGCTCACCCAGGCAGCCGGCACAGGCGGCCTGAGGCACGGGGCACCAGTGGGCACAGATGGACAGACTGCAGAGACACCGCCCCCTGCTGGGCAGGCCTGTCCCTGCAGCCCAGCACCCAGACAGGAGCATCAGGTGAGGAGAGCCCAAGCCCACTGGGGCAGGGCACACGGGAAGCTCAGCTCAGCCCAGCCCTGGGCCGGCCCTGGTCTGCAGGCACGACAACCCGGCCCGGGAGGCACCGGGCACAGCCAGGGCCCTGCAGTCGGGGGCCCCAGAGGGAGACGAAGCCATGGCCTCGGCACCTCCTGCTGTGCGTGTGTCACCTTGCACCCCAGCGGTCCCTGCCCACAACCCGCACCATGCACCCACCTGCCACGTCCAGGCGGAAGGAGACCCTCTGGCCCCCGGCCTCGCAGCTGTACTCCCCGGCGTCCGCCGTGCCCGCCTGCTGCACCACCAGTCGCCGCGTGCAGCCCGCGGCCTCCACGCGCACCCTAGAGCTCGAGCTCAGCTTCTTCCCATCCTTGCACCACGCCACCTGCGTCTGCGCCTGGGCCACCTCGCAGCTCAGTGTGGCGCTGGCCCCCGCCTCGGTCTTCACCTCGCTGTGCGCCGCCTGCTCCTTGGCAAACACCACCTTGGGCTCTGCAATGGGCGAGCAACCCGTGGTCAGGGGCCGGGCCAGACCCAGCCCCGCACTCTCCACGCCTGCTGCTGTCTCAAAAGCCCAGCCAGGGCCAGTGCCCCTCAAAGGAGAGAAACACACAGGACACAACCCTCCAGAAGACCCCAGGGAGGGGAGGCAGGGTGGTCGGGGCAAGCGTCCACAGGCAAATAACCACATGAGCTTCAACCTGCCACATGGACCCGACTGAGCACTGAGCACGCTCTGTGCAGAGCAGGCAACTCCAGCACCCGTGTCCTGAGTGCTTCAGGCACCACACAGAGCACGGCGAGCCAGGACAACCAAGCCCATCACTGCCCTGAGAGCCAAACGTCAGTGTGGGCCAACCAGGAGAGAGCTGGTGCCCAGCACGATGGCTCAACTGGCTCATGCTCCCCCTACAAGCACCACCGTCCCATATGGGAGCCGGCTCGCATCCTGGCTACTCCTCTTCCCATCCAGCTCCCTGCTTCTGGCCTGGGACACCAGTGGAGGATGGCCCAAGTCCTCGGGACACCCCACACCCGCGGGACAGACCCGCAAGAACCCTTGGGCCTTGGCTTCGGACAGGCTCAGCTCCAGCCATTGCGGCCATTTGGGGAGTGAACCAGAGGATGGAAAGCTTCTCTCTCTCTCCTCTCTCTCTCCTCTCTCTCTCTCTCTCTCTGCCTCTGCTCCTCTCTGTGGGTCTGCCTTTCGACAAAGACACCTGTTAAAGAAAGACAGGCAGACACCGAGAACAAACGAGAGAGAGAGCGAGAGGCCGAGCGAGCTGGGGGTCAGTAGGGCCAGTCAGGAGAGGGCAGCGTGTCAATGTGAGCCCGTCAGCAGAGGCCGACGTGGCAGGACACGGCCGAATGGCAGCGTGTGCCCATCAGGACAGAGCTCAGGACCTAACCGCGCCAACGACACAGGTCAGGCTGTGGCCAATCGGAAGAGAGCCAGTGTGGACCACTAAGGACAGCACAGAGCCTCAGGGCTTGGCCAATCGGGAGAGAACCCAGTGCCAGGGAGGAGCCGATGCGGACATAGGCGGGTGCCAAGCCAGGTGTCAGGTGGAGTGGTGGCCAAGGCGTATGGGTCCTCCCACTCACAGTTCTCATGACAAGATAGGCCAGGTGGAAAGGAGGGGCTGAGCAGGAAGGACGGCTGCACGGGCTGCTCACCCAGGCAGCCGGCACAGGCGGCCTGAGGCACGGGGCACCAGTGGGCACAGATGGACAGACTGCAGAGACACCGCCCCCTGCTGGGCAGGCCTGTCCCTGCAGCCCAGCACCCAGACAGGAGCATCAGGTGAGGAGAGCCCAAGCCCACTGGGGCAGGGCACACGGGAAGCTCAGCTCAGCCCAGCCCTGGGCCGGCCCTGGTCTGCAGGCACGACAACCCGGCCCGGGAGGCACCGGGCACAGCCAGGGCCCTGCAGTCGGGGGCCCCAGAGGGAGACGAAGCCATGGCCTCGGCACCTCCTGCTGTGCGTGTGTCACCTTGCACCCCAGCGGTCCCTGCCCACAACCCGCACCATGCACCCACCTGCCACGTCCAGGCGGAAGGAGACCCTCTGGCCCCCGGCCTCGCAGCTGTACTCCCCGGCGTCCGCCGTGCCCGCCTGCTGCACCACCAGTCGCCGCGTGCAGCCCGCGGCCTCCACGCGCACCCTAGAGCTCGAGCTCAGCTTCTTCCCATCCTTGCACCACGCCACCTGCGTCTGCGCCTGGGCCACCTCGCAGCTCAGTGTGGCGCTGGCCCCCGCCTCGGTCTTCACCTCGCTGTGCGCCGCCTGCTCCTTGGCAAACACCACCTTGGGCTCTGCAATGGGCGAGCAACCCGTGGTCAGGGGCCGGGCCAGACCCAGCCCCGCACTCTCCACGCCTGCTGCTGTCTCAAAAGCCCAGCCAGGGCCAGTGCCCCTCAAAGGAGAGAAACACACAGGACACAACCCTCCAGAAGACCCCAGGGAGGGGAGGCAGGGTGGTCGGGGCAAGCGTCCACAGGCAAATAACCACATGAGCTTCAACCTGCCACATGGACCCGACTGAGCACTGAGCACGCTCTGTGCAGAGCAGGCAACTCCAGCACCCGTGTCCTGAGTGCTTCAGGCACCACACAGAGCACGGCGAGCCAGGACAACCAAGCCCATCACTGCCCTGAGAGCCAAACGTCAGTGTGGGCCAACCAGGAGAGAGCTGGTGCCCAGCACGATGGCTCAACTGGCTCATGCTCCCCCTACAAGCACCACCGTCCCATATGGGAGCCGGCTCGCATCCTGGCTACTCCTCTTCCCATCCAGCTCCCTGCTTCTGGCCTGGGACACCAGTGGAGGATGGCCCAAGTCCTCGGGACACCCCACACCCGCGGGACAGACCCGCAAGAACCCTTGGGCCTTGGCTTCGGACAGGCTCAGCTCCAGCCATTGCGGCCATTTGGGGAGTGAACCAGAGGATGGAAAGCTTCTCTCTCTCTCTCTCTCTCTCTCTCTCTCTCTCTCTCTCTCTCTGCCTCTGCTCCTCTCTGTGGGTCTGCCTTTCGACAAAGACACCTGTTAAAGAAAGACAGGCAGACACCGAGAACAAACGAGAGAGAGAGCGAGAGGCCGAGCGAGCTGGGGGTCAGTAGGGCCAGTCAGGAGAGGGCAGCGTGTCAATGTGAGCCCGTCAGCAGAGGCCGACGTGGCAGGACACGGCCGAATGGCAGCGTGTGCCCATCAGGACAGAGCTCAGGACCTAACCGCGCCAACGACACAGGTCAGGCTGTGGCCAATCGGAAGAGAGCCAGTGTGGACCACTAAGGACAGCACAGAGCCTCAGGGCTTGGCCAATCGGGAGAGAACCCAGTGCCAGGGAGGAGCCGATGCGGACATAGGCGGGTGCCAAGCCAGGTGTCAGGTGGAGTGGTGGCCAAGGCGTATGGGTCCTCCCACTCACAGTTCTCATGACAAGATAGGCCAGGTGGAAAGGAGGGGCTGAGCAGGAAGGACGGCTGCACGGGCTGCTCACCCAGGCAGCCGGCACAGGCGGCCTGAGGCACGGGGCACCAGTGGGCACAGATGGACAGACTGCAGAGACACCGCCCCCTGCTGGGCAGGCCTGTCCCTGCAGCCCAGCACCCAGACAGGAGCATCAGGTGAGGAGAGCCCAAGCCCACTGGGGCAGGGCACACGGGAAGCTCAGCTCAGCCCAGCCCTGGGCCGGCCCTGGTCTGCAGGCACGACAACCCGGCCCGGGAGGCACCGGGCACAGCCAGGGCCCTGCAGTCGGGGGCCCCAGAGGGAGACGAAGCCATGGCCTCGGCACCTCCTGCTGTGCGTGTGTCACCTTGCACCCCAGCGGTCCCTGCCCACAACCCGCACCATGCACCC